TATACAGTTTTACTGCTAGATATTAGGGGAAAATAAATGGTATGTGATCATTTGGTGAATCATTTATTCAAAAAGATCTTGTACCTAATTAGATTCTCTGCTCTTCAGCTCTTCATCTGCTGACCTGATTGTTAAATAACATTTAAGGAAACATAAGTAGGCATGTTGGTGCTACGAATCAGATGATTTTAAGTTCTTACTAAGAACCTATTCAAAACCTGTATGCCCGAAGTAGGTAAATTTTAAGGTATACTCATGCATGCTGTTGAAAGGTGTTATTGGTGTTTAAGGTACCCTTCCTAACAGCATTAGATTCAGAATTTGGGGAAGTCTTTGTCTATAATAACAGCAAAGATAAATATACAAAGCCAGTATATGTTCTAACAAGGAGAATGGACATAAATAGTTCTGTACAGATAGTAAGGCAGGCAGTTGTAAATTAGATTCTTATTGCAGAGGACAAATACTCACAAGATATTATAAGAGTATGTGGTGCTAGAAGCAATATGAACAATTTCACAGATTTCCACTCACTTAAATCCCTCAGGGTACTGAATGAATTTTGCCAAAATCTCACTGAGCAGAAAAAAGCGTGTATCGATAAATATATTTTTTTTATCTTTGTATTTCCTTTATGTTTTGAAAACTTCCAGCTTTTATACATCCAGACTTCATCATAAAACCCATTTTTTTTTTTTTTTTTTTTACTCAGCTCTTATATCTCAAAGGGCTGGCATATATTTTATTCAGGACCAGCGGTACCACGCTGGTTTTTAGCAATTTACTCACTGAAGCTTAGGACGGGAAACCTGACCTTGCTGTGACATCTTAAAACAGTGAGCACTGTCTTGTCCTGCTACTTGATGCTTGATTGTTAAACATACTCTCCTGTTTACCTGCTCTGGCGCCAGCATGCACAATGTAGTCAAACATGTACCACAAATAGAGATAGCACAATTACAAGAACATTGTAAGGAGAGTCTGTACTCCACCCCCAGCAGGTCAGTCTACAATCTAGTTTTTGTTTTTTTTTTGGAATTGATTCTAAAAAAACATCTCCCTCACTCTCACACATAGGTAATTTGAGGCAAATAATGAACTTCTGACATTTAAAACTAGCAATGCATGTTTTTTCCCTGCAATGTTGTTTATTTGCATGACACTGGAGATGTGCCAGATGTTCTAAAAAGTCACAAAAAACACATCTTCCCTTCAGCTTTGTAACTAGCAGCAAATCCATTTAAACTCTTTGTCAAACCTCTTTCTTGAACTTGGTATTGGGCTCCTATCCCAATCTTATCTAGGGCCTGTAGGTATTCTTGTAGTAGAAATAATAAATAACACAACCCAAAGTATCTGGGAGTTCATGGATATGTAACTACTATGACACTGAGATCTGAAATAAGCTGCAGGCCTGCTGAGAATTCACAATCTCATCAGAAAACAGATAAATAGCACCAATGAGGTGGCCAATAAACTGTACATGACAGTCACAAACATTGCTTTTCTATTCACCAGTAGGTGAATATGGGTGAATGCCAATGGGAAAGTAAGTCTCTCAGCTTCAGTAATCTTCTCTCTCAAGCAATAGATAAAGACTTGCATATCCATAAAGACTGTTGCAAAGCTCCCTTGAGAAGATAGTAGTCCTGTTTTCAATGTAACTGACTACATGAGGCATCTGTGCCTGAAAGCCTTGTAAAACCCCATGCTATTCTTTATCACTAGCTTCCGGACCAAAAAGCAAAATCCAGGGGAGGGAGGCACGGCAACAGAAGCTCTCACGCCTCTTTTGTTTCTCTGCCTACCTTATGCAGCCACAGGGCTTCTCTAACTCAATACTCACCATGTCTTTGGATAACAGTCATGGAAGAATCCTGACGAGGATATGAGCTGTGGTCTTTCAGCTACATAGAGGAAGGGTCAAATAGCAAAGCTCAGCTCTCCAAGCATACTAGACACAATGATTAAAATAAGATTTTCTACTAAAATTGACATCTGGCTACAGGGATAAGGTGCAACCAAAGTATTTGAAAATTAGGCAGATGAATGTAAGAAAATGAAATGTGAGACTGGTGAATAGAGAGAAAAAGAATAGAAGTTGAGAAAGAAAGATCCGTGTTTCCCTGCAGTTTCTTGCTCATAACAACATCCTTCTTGTTAAATCCCTTAAGTTAACCAACAGAAACAAATAGGTGCTGTGGCATCTTGCAAGCAGCTCAAACAAGCACAGTTGTAAATTCACCTGTTCACCCAATACAAATATTAACAGAAAACGCCAAAAATCCACTTTTAAGCCTCCACTGGAGGAAGCATTTTCAAAGCTTTTCTTCCAATGTGGAAGAAATCTCAGCTGACCTAGTTTCCTACCCTGTTTGTTACCTCTTGGCTGTCTCATCTGAGGTCCACCTGCTGTTTCTCCATCTGCCAGCCTTTTTTAGATCAGATGAACCTCCAGAGTTACACATTAAATGTCAGGCAGGCTTGAGAAAAGTTGTTTATGTCTGCTTTTAAGCAGATTGTATTTTCCATTAAAAATGCAGCACGGAGACACTAAAAACTAAGATCTCATTTGTTTTTGGTTAGCGTAATTCAAAAACAAGCCTGCTTACATGAAAACTGATGATATTTGTTCAGAAACTGTGGATATCTGTACAGAACGTAAATCAGTGGAAATACTCCCTTTGTTTTCAGGGAGTTAGGGAGCGGAACACTGCATTATCAATTCCACTGTGTACCACCAGTCTGACAAAAAGGTGCAGCACAATCACTACTCCTGGAAATCCCCAAAAGTTTCAAGGATTATCTCCCTAAATAGCATAGAAAGAATGATGGGAAATTCATCACATGAGCATGCGTTGCTAAACTTGTGCTGGCTCTACGGATGTTGTAAAGCCTCCATGTTAAGGCAACAGGAAGCTTCAACGTACGTTGCATCACGTCTTAGAGGTAACTAAGAATTTAAGATTTTTAACATTTTATGAGTAGGCAGAATCTTCTACCTATCTTCTATTTTCCTCTTGGATGAATTTCAGCCATCAGATGCACAGCCCCGCATGCTCGAGTCTCCCAGTTCTTGGAGAGAGTTGTCTCTCCCCTGATCCTCATAGAACTGACAGACCCTCTATCCGTGTCAGATGATTCTCTACAAGAACCACAAATTCTAAAGTGCCCAAGAAATGAAACCAAGGATGAAGTTCTTGAAGAGATGCAGACATAACACTTCCTGAGTTTAAGACACCGTAAATTACCTTAACTTTTCTACAGCTATCTTGAGGAAATAAAGAGAAATCACACTGGGGGGAAGAGAACATTTCTTGCCCTATTTCTCATGCAAATATAATAACTTGAATGTCATTATAACAAAAGCACGTAGCACAAGTATTAACACTATAATTTACAGTAATAAAAGCATTATTACAAGTGTTTAATTAGTAGCCATTATAAAACGAATTAAGGCTGTCAAAATAGAAAGGAAACAAAATGTGATTTTTCCCCTGGAGAACTGGGTGGGACTCATTGTTAACTCACAGATTGAGGACAGAAAACTGCTTTCAGTTAGAAATAAAATCTAGGCTTCTAGAGAAAAGTGAGCTGAGAGGTACGTTGCTCTCCAGTAGACATTACTTAAGCCAGTATTATCACAACACATTAGAAGCATTTTTAATACCCTTTAAAAATTTTGAATACAGAAATAGCTATTCAGTTTAGCTTTAGCATCATTCTGACATTTGCAATCCACACGTCATCGTTAATTTCACTGCAGGAAATGAGACAAAGGCATTTATTCTACCTGGAAAGGATGGCTGGACAGCCCTTAAGGAATCTAATTAGAACACAGCTTGTTGCAAGAGCAGTGTATCACACTGTGCTACCATAGTTACCAGGATCCCATGGACCATCAGGGTCATCTGAGGGCATGTTGGCAAGAGGCATGAGAACTACACCAAATGCCTATGATACATTTTGAAGGAACAACTTGAAAACTCTGAATAACTTGCTGATATTAAGTCTATTAAAGAAAAGAGTCTCTACGTGCTCAGAAAATTGTCATGTCTCAAGAATCAATTTATTCTTATTACTCCGTTTTAGAACATACTGCTTCCCAGACCTTATTTAAGAAGCATGTGACTTATCTGCAACATCTGAGCAACAAAGTAGTTTGACTCCCTAATACAGGAACAACACAGCAGTTGAGACCTGGGAAAGACTAATGTCAGAACTTTATTTTGTATCTAGATGCTGTTTCCAGTGTCTGCTGCAGTACACCAGGCATCTGACCAATCATTAGGGTGGCAGCTCTGTTACTGCTTTTGGTGGCCAAGACTCTGCTAGCTCACTAGGGAAAAGAAAAAAAAAAAAACACCCCACAAGACTGCATCACTGAGCTTTTCTTGCCAATTCCTTCACATAGAAAGATCCTTTAACAATATTAATAATTACAGAAGCATGATCATACATTGTATGCCATCCTGCTATTTATTTACCATGGAAGCAAACAATAGACATTAAAATAGATTATAACAGTAAATATGTCTGTGTCGAGAAATTCTTTTGACATACTGTGTCAAGGACTGCAGACTGCAAACTGACAATGGTTTGTTGCAGGTTGCCATGAAAAAGTTCTGCAGAAGAGCAGAAGGCTTTAGTCTTCATTATGCACTTTAACTATTGCTGAAAATATCCACAAATTGTTTGGAATGATCAAGGAGATAACAGCTTTTAAACAAGAGTTTGATTGCAATTCTTTTGAAAAATAATTTTCCCTAGATAGTTTCTCTTGAGGCTTGAGGACAACAATGGCAATTGCAACACCAGTTTTCAAAGCATGTAAGGCCAGTCCTGATACTCACATTCTCCATTCTACTTTTAGTATAGAGCAGGCTTGTTTGCTTCTTTTGTTCCCCCTGTTCCTTCTCAAGAAGCCAGAAAACCTGAATTCTTCAATGCAAGCTCTTGGAGAGAAAATTAGCTGTTATAAATAATGACAAGCCTAGAAATTCATTTTTAACAGGTTACATTTTATTTGCTTCAGTTGAACACCATTATTTACAGACACAAGTTAGTAAAACACATCACACAACAAGATTTCAACAGTTAATATTTATAGGTGCATAGTTCATGCTCAGTTACTTTTTTATATAATACATAACATTTACATAAAGCTTTCACAATAAGTCTTTTCTGCACAGAAATAATAGTCATAGGAAACAAATAAAAGTTGTATCATAAACAATATCGAATTACTGACAGCCTATCAACAAAACATGTACAGAGTTAGAAATAAGCAGTAGACACTTAGGTGTTTCTATTTAGTATTTTGTTTTTAACTTTTAAAAGTGAAGCCACAATATCCACAGCACAACAACGACCCTGCCAACCAGCTTTCATTTCAGCAGGAGGGAAATGCTGAAACAAGGTGGATGCAGTCACAGATACTCCAATCATTGCTGATGGAAGACTTCAAAATACACTGTAAAAACTGTAAAAAAATTTTACGACTGGGCACATTGGAACTCAGCACTTGTACAGGATGGCACGTCTTTGTTAGTAGATTTCAGGAGATATAAAGGAAGAAAAGATTCCTCATGCTTCAGGTTCATAATCTTGATACTCTTCCTATGAAGGAGAGCAGAAATCAGTGCTACAATTTCAGACAAATACATCCTAACATGTATCTTAACTTTTACTGATTGTCCTAGTCACAATGGATGCAGCAAAAAAATAAGGATTTGTGCGTGATGAGAATCTTGTCTAGTATTTACTGTTTTGTCCCATTTTCCAGATACTCTATTTGACAAAGTGTGGCTTTAACAGGAGTATAAGCTTTTACAGTGGTTAACATACCATTCACAGTTATCACAAAGACTTACAGCAATGTATTTGTGACTAATTCCCAGCAGAGAAGGAAAAAAAAAAAAACCAAAAAATAACCTGTTTGTAGTTTACCTATACTACTCTTTATCCTTTTTTAATTAATTACTTTTTTAATCCCATTCATGTGGGTGGAAACAAGCTGCTACGTTTAAGCCGGAATCCAGCAAAACAATTGGACATGTTCTTCAATGACGAAGATCACAAATATTTGAGAGCATGTACCTGGGCTCTTCAGTCTGCTTACGGTGAATTAAATGAGTCTCTTTTTGAAGGATCAGGAGTGCAAACTATTTTACAAAGGCCCACTGCAAAACACTTCATTCCTTACATGCTTTACTGAAGCAATAGAGGCAGTTAAACTGTATATCTGTGCTGAGCTGTTAAAATACATTTTTTCAGGCTCATTTTCTATGTGACTACAGGACTTGATTCAGCTCACTCGGAACTACAAAATGATCTCTTCTGGTCCCCATTGACATAGCCAGAATTCCATAAGACAGCCCACGTCAACTCACTTCGGACAGGAGAAGAACCTTTGAACAGCACACCAGGTGCTGCAAATACTCTGGAAAACTGAAGAATATTCAAAGTTCAGGTGCCCTTTTAAGTCTTTCACTGCATCAATTTCTAGATGCCTAACATCTCTGGTTTTCAGCCTGATTATCTGCACTACTGTAAAACTGCCACTCCAAATGCCAATGCATCATAGTATCATATACTGTTGTAAAGTTTCAGAGAGCACAATCAGGATTAGCTCAAAACCCTAAATAATTTACTCCTATATTTGCATTAAGCTGTAAATGTAATAACTATGTTTTACGAAGCATGGTGCAAAGAAATACATTAAATGTCCAACCTATTAAAAGAATCTATGGAGAGGTAGAAGTTTCTCTCCACAGTTCGTATCAAATATGAGAAGAAGTTACTGCTGATTACTCAAAAAGTGAAGCATGCATGTTTTGAAACAAAGATAGTATTTTCTCATTAAACCTCAAGAAATGGATTTTTTTTTTCCCAGCACTGCACCTCAGAGAGATTTTGGCCAGAGACTTATTTCTCCTTTGACCCTGCAGCTCATAGTACCAGTCTGTGCCACATTAACGCAACTCCAGCTTTCAGTACCCTGTCTTTGCCTTTCTCCTATGGGCATGAACAGCAAATACCACAACAGATTTACCTCTGGAGGCATTTCATAAGCCTCATTGTCAGGATCCACAGGAATATCAGTATTATTCACCACCCCTTCCTGCAGGAAACCTTCTTCATTCTACATTTAAAACAGGGAGAGAAAAAGAAAATAATAAAGTGTCAGATCAACTGCTTGCACTCTTGTATTCCAAAGCATGTCTTACCTCCCCACGTGGAGGATACTGACTATAAAGGCATGCAGAAGTAAGAGGAGGCCAAAAGGAATTTGACAGCATCAAGACATGGAAATAAAACAGTAATTCTTTTATGTATTTTATTATAGGCAGATAACTCATCCTCCTACCCCTTTATTCCATTTTACAGTTTTCACTCTTCTCATATTATTTTTCAAAGTGGCCAAAGGAAGAACAACTGTAATTTATTGTATGCTTTTTCTTCCCTACAGTTTTAGTACCTAATGATATTGGGAAACATTTTTCCCTTAACGAGTCATAGTTTTAATCCTTTATTATGTTGAGTAGCACCTCACTGTATGCAGTATATTTATGACACACGACACTGCCTACCACACAACTTCTTACACGCTTCTCTAGAGATCTGTTATTGACCATTAAAGAAGCACTTCTAATGCCCCCTCCCACTCATCCCCCTTAGCAGTTGTTAATGCTGAAGGTCACAGAGAAGAAATGAAAGTTTTATCAGAACAAAGACTGCTGGAGTTAGTCCTAGAAAATTGATATGAAAACCAGAAGATTATCTCAGCGGAACTATTTTGACTATACTGATTTATAGCAGTTGTCAACCTACACAGAAAAGTACTAGAAAAATCCTAACAAACTCAGGAAGAAATTCACTGAAAAAAACCAGTCCTGAGGCTAGAAGTGTGGAAAGGAATACAAAATTAATTCTGTCACAAACAAGACTAATGAGGAAACTCTTCAAAATTCATAATTTATAGGACAGTTCCGCTAAACTGAATTTAGGATGTAGATGAAAAATGAATAAAAGAGCAGTTAAATTGGAAACTCACCTCTGCCAGTTTAACAGAAGATACAAAGTAATACACAAAAGAAGCGGTCTTAAAACTTCTTTACGTTAATGCACTATTTGTCATGCTCCCTTAACGATTCCTGATGACTATCTTAATTTTATGACAGATGAAGGGCATGGAGTGAGCACCACATACTGAAGAAATATTATCTTCACTGGGAAAACTGGATTTAAGACTTTTTCTTCCCTCTGCCAAACAATTATTTGGAATGAACACGAGGGAAGACTAAATAAAAAGGTGCACGCATTAATCTACAATGTTATAACACGTAGCTCAGCACTGGAAACCACTTCCCCATGGTCCTTAACAAGTGTGGTGGTTGGGCAGAATATTTGGGATGAATTCCTAGTATATGAAGACATACAGCACATCTGAACTTAATTAACTATCTTCATTGCATTTCCTTAAGTGGATGAATTCATAAAGAGCTACAAGACCTCAAGGATACACTGAGATTGATGAAGTACACGCAAAATTTCATATTGAATTTGAAAATGCTTAGCACACGACCAAAATTTCGCTAACATTGTAACTGAATTCAATTAATTTCTTCGCTCTTTTTGATACTTCCTGATCTTTATCCTTTCCTTTATAGTCTTCTTTTATTAATTTCTTCATATGAACATTTTGTACATCATAGTCATAACATGTATTCAGTACTACTAACAAGTCTACACTGTTAAAACTCTACAAACGCAGAAAAAAGAGTTAAGTCCTGAAAACCTCAGTTTCAGACACTCAATATCAAATACCTTTTATTTCTCACATTGCCCACACTTTAGATACAATTTTTAAATGATTACTCTTCTTTCACATTTTTATATTCTCACACAGCATTTAGCACTGACTTTCAGACTTATTCTGCTGCCTTTTTCAGCTGGTACTCCCTTCCACCATTTCCCCTCAGGTATCAGCAGAAGTGTGAAGGCTATTTACTTCATTCCAGGCTCTCTGTGGCGTAACCAGCTGTCCTCAGTCATATTCAATTCTTAGCTTGCTATATCTCTCCATGCAGCAATGGTGACTTTTTCCATCAGAAATCCTGCTCTTCCTCAGTTTGGTCGTATCTTTTCTTTAGCACCCTTGCCTGTACATTGACATCTTTAACCCTCATCTTCCATGCACATTATGGGCAGATTTTATTTCTATTATGTGAATTTCTCTCACGCTCTTATTTCAGACTACTATTATAAGAGTGATCAGCATCAGTTAGCAGCTCTACTGACTGATTTTCCTTTCTGAGAGAAGTTACAATGGGACACGTCTGTTCTCTTGGCAAGAGAAGAACACAGTCTTTTGGTGAAATTCTCATATATACCCAAGCATAAAAAGATTTAGAGCAAGTCACCAGTGTAACATGAAAGGTCCAGTAAGAAGACATACCTTGCTCCTACATGGTATCAGGCATCATTTTTCATGTGGAGATAAGCAAAACAGTTTGTGCAGAGCCAATGCATGGTATTCTGCCCAGCTCCCACCCCACGTGCTTGCTATAAAGCATGCTTTTTCTTTTTTTGGTCTGTGCTGCTATTTATCACAGACAACGTGAATAAATTCCGTAACTGAAAAGACACAGATAAACAGAGTTGCTAATACCTTTCTTTAGCCCTGTGTTTTCCAGAATTAATTATTCTGGATGCTCAACATGACATGCAACGTTTCAAGCATAAAACCATCAGAAAATAACAGGACTACTTACAGTTCTACCCTGGTTTATCAAAATGCTCAAACTCCAATTAAGCATTGAGTTTATTTGATGTGCAATATTTAATTACCATATTCTTAAAGCATATTTTCACTGTAATTCATGCCTGGTTACTTCTCTGAGAAGTAGACTCGATCCCTACAAGCTTTGACTGAAATAGCTAAATTGTGTGTGTGAGATGCAAATATTACAGCTGCCTCATCTGACGCATTAGATCTAAGGGCCTTCAGCTCCTTTTTGCTCTCACTCTTATTCCAAAATGCCATTCAATTTCTGCTATCACCAAAGAACAGCTTTGGCTAACAATTGGTGCATCAAGTGAAAGTGTGCCCCAGATTCTCCCAACGGCTGCACAAGGAAGAATAAAATGTAGTTCAATGTTATCTGCAGCAGGAAAACACACAGCAAGTGATACCACCAGAACTGCTAGTAATAGCAAGGCAAAAGATTTGCCAGCAGAATTTCAAAGTAGAGTTTCAATGCTCATATGCTGCTTGCTTTTAGTTAACCTCTGAACTACCCATCAGAGTTACAGAGAAACAGTAATTAAAAGAGGCAGAATTTGTCTTCCCAACTTCCTTTATCGAATTCCACTGGTAAGTTCAGGATGAAGAACTACGTATGGCTTCAGATAGAAGAACCAGTAGCACTAATAAAATACAGAGATCACAACATCAATATTTTTCAAATTCACAAACAGTACCAAACCAGCAAGGGAACTCTGCCTAGTAATGGCTTGTCACCTTCGTAAGCGAAACTCTACCTCTCATCTCGATGCCACTGCAACTCAGATGAGAATGCTGTTACTAAAGGTCACATCTGCTATATTTAACTATATAGCACAGGTGGCACATCAGTTTTAATGGCTGCTCTCTCTGCTTCTCATGTATTTTCTCTAAAGTTAGGACATCACAAAAACAAAAAACCTCCCCCAGTAACACAGAGCCACTTACAGTACACCTTATATCATTACTTATTTCCTTTAAAACAAAGCAATGCACTTTTGCTTTCTTGTGATCAATACTTTCATGTCTCAATCTAATTATAGAAGGGGAAAGCCACCTTACAGAACAATGTTCATCTTATTACAAAAGATTTATTTTCTTGAAGCTGCCACTTGTCCTTTTTAAACCATACAGAAAAGCTACTCTAGAGGGAAAACTTTTAGTAGAAAATGCGAAAAGCTAAACATCAAGCATCTGAGAAGTGAAATCCATTTTTAAATTGGGAATTCAAACTTTTTGCAGGCATGGTATTAAAAGAATGGTGAGGTGAATGCCTGCTTGTCCCCCTGAGGCCTCCCTGAAGAATAAGCAAGGTGCCTGTATCTTGTTTTGAAATAAAGAAGCTCTGGGAGAGACCTGCACTTCAGCATTCTCCAGTCTTCTGGAATCACGTCACTTAGGAATTCCTCCCTTGACAAAGCTTTGAGATTATCAATCTTGGAGAGCCCAAGACCTACCTGCCACCAGACAGCCTCACCAGCCCTCATTCACTTTCTACAGGAATGAAGGGCTCTCCTCCAAAATTTGCTGTTCTCAAGCAATTTAACAACACTTTGTAAATGAACTTAACAACAAATGTAAATGGAGAGAGCAGCATGCCATGGTAAAATTGTGTATCTGCATGAACCTGAACATCAGTTCTAAACTAAACAGACACAGCTGCTATACAAAAACAGTAAAAGTCAGATATGAGGCAGAACTTATTACATTATTTAGAACAATAGCTCCTAACGATTGACTCCTCCTTCACTATAGGGACAAGCCCTGATAAGCAGTGTGCATGACAGTGCTAACTGACCCACATTTACAATGCAATATTAAGCTAACATTAAGAAAGCCTCCCTTGCCCTTTCTTTTTATAAGCCAGGGAAAAGTAAACAAAAGGGTTTCTCTTATTTCATTGCCTTTTGTTAAAATTACACCCTTCACTCGCATAACACTCTTGAGCTAGAAGTAGAAAAATTGTTGAAGACTGTCTACACTTGGAAAACAAATCAAGTGGTCTGCTCATGCTCCAGCAGTTTAGGCAGCACCAGGTAGCAAAATGGTAACATTTGGTCTTCTCAGTGATGTGTCTTTGAATGCTCAGTTAGTTTCATCGCAAATAAATAAAATATTTTATCTCAAGCCACAGACAAAAGCAATATTATAAATGGAAGCAGCATAACTATAACCTAACCTAGCAGTAAATGCAAGTATTGTAATTTACTATCTCCCTGGGTTATCAGCACTTTTTCCCATTATAAATCCTGAAAAAGTCTTACAATCACATATAGCCTCATAATTACTGGAGAGTAATTCCAACTGGAACACTTCTGTATTCTGAGATAAGTAAAACAGAGAAGCTGCATGGCAGG